TTTATATGGATTCTCAATTTGTAATGGTTCTTTATAATAAAATAAATAAACGACACCAACCTGATTACGGGATTAAAAAAAAAAAAATTATTATTATTACAACTTATAAATTAAATTTTTGATTAGTCAAAATTAATTAATATTTTATTGATTAATTTTACATATTTTTTAGATTTTTTCAAAGACTTTTAAAATTAATTATAAATGTTGATTTTGTTAATGCACATTTTCAAAACATTCCTTTTATACAAGGCATGTTAGCAAATATATTTTAACTGTAGACTCTAGTAACAAGTCTAATAAAGATTTAAATATATCAAAATTTCTTATCATTTCAAATAATATTAAAGATATGCAAAGTATTTCAGATGTATTTTTATAATATTTTGTTTTTATTAGACTTTTGTAAAGGATTTAAATTTTCTTAAAAATAATTATTTCTTTAATAAAGACTCTTGTAATATTAATTTATTAAAAAATTCTTCAGATAGTTATGATTCTTTGAATTCTTTTGAAGATTCTTTTAATAAATTTCCCAATTTTAATATAATAAAACTTAGAAATTTTATAAAATAAAAGATTAGAGAAATATTAGTTTATATAATAAGTCCGAAAATAGAACCAGACATTTTTTATATTAAATTTAAGGAGATTATTAATTTATGGAGTATTAATATTATATTTTAATAATATATTTTCAACTTATAAAATTAAAAAAAAATTCTTTTTCTATTTTAAATACGTAATAACATTTAAATCAATATCACGTGAAGGGGTAATAAGTCGAGTTTGAATACGAATTCGGAGCTTAATTCTCTTCGCTATGGGTAAGAAGAACCAAAAAGGTGGTAAATCGGAACCTGGACAAGTTCAACACCGTGAAATATATCAAAGAATGAATTTCCTTTATCAGGCAGCTACTCTAATGACCTCCATAAACATTCCGAATAGTCACCATTCGAAACAAAAGCATAATAATGACTCGAATTCGACCTTTGCCAATCAATCGCAAGATGCGTCTAGTTCTTTAAGCACTCACAATCACAGTCTAGTTCCTTTGGGTCGATTTTATGTGAATACCATGAAGACCATTGGTACAAAGCAAGTCTTGAGAATTGATCCTTCGATTAAAAGAACTTTATGCAGAAGATGCGAGACTCTACTTTTACCTGGTGTCACTTCACGCGTGCGAATTAAATGTGTGTTTGTTTAAGATATTTGAACATATCCTTTGATAAGATATATATTTCATTTTAACGTTTTCTATTCAAATGCGTTTGTTCTTTACGCGAAAAAGCTAGCTCAGAGAAAAATCTCCAAATTAAGTGTACACAGTGCAATGTGACAAGGAAAATTCCCACTAGAAAAGGTTATGTTTTATTTTCAGAAAAGCGAGAAAATATTTTTGGAATGGAAACGGATGAAGGGAATGTCGAAAACAACGTAGTGCGTGAATTGAAACGTGATAAAATTAAACATCACAAATAAAATGATAAGTGATGGATAGTGAGGTTCGATTTCTTCGTGGATGTATTTGATAGTGTTATTCCTTGAAACTATCGTGAGCTAGCACTATGGCAACGCGACATGGGATATAGACCTTCTTGAAAAAATTTTTTTACAGATTCGATTAGGCATGATAATAGGTAAGAACTTGCGAATTCTTAGTTAAAAAGTAGCCCACCTGAATGAAATTTTTTCTCCCGTTCCATTCTTGTGGTTGTGACACGTATTTTTGTTTTTCATAGATTCTGTCGTGGCCCCCAAATTTAGGGTTGTCAGTATTGAGTATAACGTGGTAATTGCCTGCCCATTCGGTTCCTATCTTATAATCAGCGTGTGAGTTTGTTGGGTGGAAGTTGAAGATCCAGAGCAGATTTGCTCTCTCGAAGGCGATCACCTTTTGTTCTTCATGTTTTAGTGAAATGTAGGCCTTGATGTTTGAAGTATTAATTTTGTGAGTATTTCTTACTAGCATAGTCGACGCAATAGAAAGTAAAAAGAACACATTTAAGCTAGCAGTTGCAATGATCTTAGCAAGCTGGAATTTTTACCTGTGGAGAATTTAACCAACCAAATTTCTCTTCAGCATGTTGCATCGCTTTATCAAACTCATTCAAATATCGATATCTCAACAAATGATCATCCACGACATTCCACTGACGTCTGGCGTAATGAAACGAATTGTTGTTTCCTTGTCGCGGAAAATCTAACCATTCGGGATGCCCAAATTCGTTTCCTTCAAAATTTAGGTAACCTTCCCCGCCAAGAGCATGAGTCAATAAACTGTATAACAAAAGATAATTGTTACTAGTTGTAACTCTTACAAAGATAATTTTAGAATACACTTATTTACCGAATCATCTTGTGAAGAGCCAATCCACGATCTATAATAGACGTGCGAGGAGATAAATCAGACATGTTCGTGTACATTTCTTTGTCCATGAGCCAGAAGGCCAGGGTCTTGTCACCGACAAGAGCTTGGTCATGTGATTCAGCGTATGCAATAGTTTTCTCCTACAAAAAAAAAGTGTGCTTAACAAGATGGACGGAGGGAAACCTCGAGAGATAGTGGATCTTTTTAAATTATTACCAAATGTCTACGATTGGTCAAAGTCCAACAGATATTACCGATATCCCATTCATCATCGCTTTTTTCTTTTAACAACTTGATCCACATATCTGGAATAGCCATCGCAAGACGATAATCGAATCCAACACCGCCTTCGGCTACAGGACGACAAATTCCTGGCATGCCCGAAACGTCTATAATGGGAAAAATATACACGATCAATAATCATCCCTTGATGGAAACATCGAGTAAATAAAAATTACCCTCGGCGATGGTGATGACTCGTGGATATAGAGTGTGAAGCATATCATTTGCCTATTGTAAATTACATTAATGTTAAATGGGATAACATATTTTCATCTGTTCCTGGTCATTACCATTGATGATTACTTGCCAACATTAAATAGACGACGCCTTCGTCATCCACGGGGTCACCAAAGTATTCATGATATCCACCCGAGAAGCCCGTTCCAATACCGTGATGTTTATACATAATACTCGTGACTCCATCAAATCTAAATCCATCGAACTTGTATTCTTCCATATAAAATCGGAGATTTGAGAGTAAGAAACGAAGAACTTCCCAATGGCCGTAATTAAATAGACGACTGGATGAAGAATTTTTACATTAGTTTGAAATTCCTCTAAAAGTCACAAAATCGTTAACTTTACGGGCATGTCTTACCTATCCCAAAGGTCATGTCGTCCCTTTCCACCTTCATGGAAATAACAATGATCCGTTCCATCGAACATGTTCAGTCCATCCAGAACATTCTTGCATGCGTGCGAGTGAACGATGTCTAATAACACGCTAATCCCCATTCCATGAGCGGTGTCAATGAGTCTCATCAACTGTTCAGGCGTGCCTGTCACGTATTATACATAACTCTTAAAATTTTGGAATACGCGTGAAATTAAACCCAATAAAGCTTACCATATCGGCTAGAGACGGCAAAGAAGCTTGTGACCTGATAACCAAACGAGGCATAATAAGCATGTTCCATGACGGCCATCAATTGGATGGCATCATAACCTAAATTCTTAATACGCGGCAGGACGTTATCCGTGAATTCGTCGTAAGTGGCAACACGCCCCTCAACAGATGATATGCCAACTGTAAAGAACGAGTTAATTGATATCACGTGACAAAATTCGGTAACATTGTTGTCATACCATGAGCCTCGTAAATTCTCAAGCTTGTGGGTTTCGGAGGAGCCTTGTTTTTCCAAGTATACTTTTGTGGCGGGTTCCAAAAGACGGCGTCATATGCTTCGCTCACAGATAAATCCTGAGTCACACGTTTGATCCAAGCGGGAAGACGATCAATATGTTCTCCACTTTGCGTTGTCATGGAAATCTGTTTCAAAGTCGATTTGTAGTACACTTGTGTGACCATTAGAAGAAGGTTCCTGTCCTGTCACTTACTTTTATTTTTGAATTATGAGGGATAGCGGGTCTGCCGAAATTGGCGGGAATGTGAATTTCCCATACTCCAAATGAATTCTTTTTCATTGGATGTGCCGTTCTGTCCCAATTGTCTGCCGAATTATTAAGGAGAACACGATTGCAGGAAAAAAATGGCATTTCCTTTGTTATGAAAAAGGATACTGAATTCACCGATCAAACTTGCGGTCACGGCACCGGGAGCCCACTCGCGGTAAATTATGTCACCATTCGTTTGCACGTTGATCCCAAATTTTTCGTATCCCTTCGTGAACTGGTCATATCCTCCTTCGTTTGATTTTATATCGTCAACCCATTTTTTGTAGGCAGTGTATCTGAAATAGGTTAACATGAGTTATGGGAAAATGTCCACTTTGTGTCATGAAGCTTAAAAAAAATTTACCTTTGTTGTAGAAAGGAAGAGAACGGTTTTAGCCAAGGGTCGATAACCACGAGGCCAGTTCCATCATTAGGGAATTCTTCTAAACCGGTTTCAACCATTATTTTTTTAAAATGGTAAAATCAAGTTCGAAAGGTGGATATTTGTGTTGAGAAAAAAAAAAGAAAGAAAAAACCTTTTATACGAGAGAATGAAGTCAAAAGTGTGATGATGCGGCAGTCTACGTTTTAAAAGGAAACGAAGGAGAACAGGCGTTTCTCATAGCTATTAATCGTGATATAATTAGCGGTAATCTAATTTGGGGGATACACGGGAACTTTGGTTTTCACGTTCAAATCATATATCAGGCCTCTCATTTCACATGGGGCAATCAGTTTGGAATTTTGGCTTTTAATATCACGTGATACAAGTCGTCAGAATTCTTTCAACAATTAAATGTTTTAGGCGCAATTTGTATCACGCATCATGTTTCTACGATCAAAGTAGTGTTAGTGTGGTGGCCGACTAAACTGGAAAAATGGCCAAGTCTCTAAGAAACCTTAAAAAATCGAATGATGAGCTAATGTCGAAAATCAGCAAACATATGCCTGCCATTTAAAAAATAATCGACGTATCAATTGGGGATTAGGTCACCAGTCCAGATGTTTGGATCGGCATCCGCATGCGCATGGCAGGTTTAAAAAATGACGATTTTTTTCAAATTTGTTAATAAATATAAAAAAATTAAAAAAATTTTTTTTTTAAAAAACTATTCTAACCATTAAAATTCTTAATTTTATTCCTGAAATTTATTCAGGACTCTTCGTGTTACAAATATGCAGTATATAGTAATTAGATATTTAAAAAACTCGTCAAGCTCAAAAAAATATTCAAAGTAATTTTTTCAGAATAAATAATATCCTATATATTGTGATAAAGTATATATTCTTATAATATTATATTTTTTTTCTTTTATATATTTTATTATTATCAAATTGTTTGTTATCTGATTATTAGTATTAGTATTTTTTTTTGGAAGGATTTTTCTGTAGATAAACATCATTTCTTTATTTGATTATAATATATTTTATAAAAAAGACAATATTTCTTTTAGTATTTCAGAAAGTTGATTATAATTTATATTTTAAATTAATATAAATTAATATTATTTTAGCATTAGTTTGAAATTTCAATTACTTTTTTCTTTAGTTTATATTTCTAATTATAAAAAAATTGTTTTATAATAATAAGAAAATATATATAATTCAAATTATATTTTTCTAAAATATTTAAAACTTTTTTTTTTTTTTTTTAAGATGCTAAGTATAAGAATCACATCCTTTATTATATAGTTTCAATTATATAAGATATTAATAACCTATTATATTTATATATAACAAATTTAAATTCATAATTAATTAAAACTTATATATTTTTATACAAATTATTATTTTTTTTGGGGGGGTTTCCCCTCATAGGTAAGCATCATTTCTTTATTTGATATTGTATATAACATGGTATACATCG